TGCCAATATTTCCACTTAACTAGGGTCTTTTGCTTTTTCTTCATAAAGTCTTTATTTAGAGGAGCATGAAGCCATTGACTGAAATGTAAATTATAGGTATGTTATCTGAGAAGTGTAGAGAGAGTGGGGAAAGGCAGAGGGAGGGAGGATGAGAGAGCAGAGAAGGGAGGGAGAAAGGAGACAGCATTATATTCTTAGAATTGTATCTATGAACTATATTGAAACAATTAAAATTTAAATTAAATTTAAATAATAAAGGATGTTAATATGATTATAACAAAATTATTTTGAGAATTTTTTTAACTTTTATTTAATGAATATAAATTTCCAAAGTACAGCTTATGGGTTACAATGGCTTCCCCCCCATCACTTTCCTCCCACCTGCAACCCTCCCCTCTCCCGCTCCCTCTCCCCTTCCATTCACATCAAGATTCATTTTCAATTATCTTTATATACATAAGATCAATTTAGCATATATTAAGTAAAGCTTACAACAGTTTTTACCCACACAGAAACACAAAGTGTAAAATATTGTATGAGTATTAGTTACAGCATTCAATCACAGTGTACAGCACATTAAGGGCATAGATCCTACATGAGGAGTAAGCGCACAGTGACTCCTGTTGTTGACTTAACAAATTGACATTCTTGTTTATGGCGTTAGTAATCATCCTAGGCTCTTGTCATGAGTTGCCAAGGCTATGGAGGCCTTTTGAGTTCACTGACTCTGATCATATTTAGACAAGGTCATAGTCAAAGTGGAAGTTTGAACATGATGCTTAAGGAAAGTCTGTGTCACTAAGGGAAAATCATATTCGCAGCAGCTAAATGCATAGTGTTTTAGGGTAAAGAGTTTGTACTAAAAGTTATCACTCCCTTAAGAAGAATGATCCTTGATCCTAAATCTCAGCCTCTCCCCTTTCCCATACAACTTCCACCTGCACAATATTGATCTAAGAGTCTAGCAATACCCACAATACTGCATCACACACACACACACACACACACACACACACACACTCCAGCTGTATCTCAAACCAAGTGCATCTAGCATGTTCTAATCACCATCCACAAGCTCTGATTACACTGAATCTAAAATGTAAACCATTTATTCAGAACTATATTTCACTCTTCACTGTTTTAAAAGCCCACCAAGCCTAGATTCTCCTAATACATTTTCCCTTTGGAGCCTCGGGTTCATAATTAGTTCTCTGCAGGGAATATAGTTAACAGTAATGCATTTGATATCCAAATAGCTTAAAGAGAGATTTTAATGTCATCAACATAAATAAATAGTACAAGTATGAGTGATAGATATGATCATTACCCTGATTTGATTACACTATATGTATAATATGTATGAAAATATCACATTATATTAATAAGTGTTTATAATTACTGCATGTCCATTTAAAAATTTTAGATGATGGCTGTAGCTCTTATTTCACTTTTCTATTCACTTTGTCAAATATATTTTATATTGAGAACTCAAAACAATGCACAGCACAACATAGGACACAAGAAGTTTAAGATGTAAAAGCAAAAAGACCCCCGTTTAATGGGAATATAGACAATGACTATAAACAATAACTACTCAGTTTTCATTTCATCCATGTATACTAAATTTTAAAGTTGTCACAGATCTTTAAAATTATTACAGCATAACATTCCTAAGCATTGGTTTGAGAAAGGTGTAAAACAAAGTTTTACAAAAATGTATTTGCAGCAATATTGATACACCCAGGCATTGCTTTTTTTTTCTTTCTTTTTTATTTGTGTCTTGAATTTTAGCTCCCACATATAAATGAGAACATGTGATATTTGTCTTTTTAGGTTGGGCTTATTTCACTAAACATATTATCCTCCAAAGCTTTCATTTTGCTACAAATGGTAGAATTTCATTCTTTCTTTTAAAGCTGAATAATATTCCATTGTGTTTATATACCACATTTTCTTTATCCATTCATCTTTGGATACTTCCAAATTTTGGCTATGGTGAACAGTGCTGCTATAAACATGGTGGTGCAGGTGTCTCTTTGATACAACATACTCAAGAATTTTGGGTATGTGCCCAGTTGTGGGATTGTTAAATCATATGACAAGTCTATTTCTAATTTTTGAAGAAATCTCCACTGTGTTTTCCATAGTAGCTGCACTAATTTACATCCCCACCAACAGTGTACAAGCATTCCCCTTTGTCCACATCCTTGCTAGCTTTTGTTATTCGCTCAGTTTTGGATTTTAGCAATTCTTTCAGGAGTGAGGTGATATCTGATTATAATTTGATTTGCATTTCCCTGATGGCTGGCTAGTGATGTTGAGCCTTTTTTCATATATTTATTGGCCATTTGTATTTCTTCTTTTTTAAAAGATTTTTTTTTTTTTTATTTTACATGAAAGAGTTACAGAGAGACAGTGAGATAAAGAAGAGATGGAGGTCCTCCATTAGCTGGTTCACTCCCCAAATTGCCACAACGGCTAGAGCTAGGCCTGTCCGAAGCCAGGAGCTTGTTCTGGGTCTCTCACCTGGGTGCAGAGGCCTAAGTACTCATGCCATCCTCTATTGCTTTCCTAGGCACATTAGCATGGGTTTGGATCAAAAGAGGAGCAGCTGGGACTCAAATCAGCACTCATATGGGATGCTGATGTTGCAGGTGGCAGCTTTACCCGCTGTGCCACAGTGCCAGCCTCCGTATTTCTTCTTTTGCAAACTTTCTATTGCAGTCTTTTGCCCATTTCTCAACTTTATTTTGGTGCTGTTTTAAGTGTTTAAGTTGTTGATATGTTTGGGATATTAATCCTTTTCAGATAATTGGTTTGCGAATATTTTTCACAATCTGTTAGATGTCTCTAATGAATATTTCCTTTGTTATACAAAATCTTCTGAGTTTGATATAGTCCATTTTGTTTAGTTTTGCTTTTGTTGTCTGTACTTTGAGGGTCCAAGATGTCATCCCGTACACCAATGTCTTGGAGTCTTTTGAGTTTTTCTTCCAGTAACTTCATAGTCTCAGGTCTTAAATTCAGGTTTTGATCCTTCTTAAGTTTTTTTTTTATATGGTGAGAATAATGGATCTATTTGTTCATGAGTTTTGTTAGTAGAGCAGCATATGCATATATTCAAAGGAGTGGCTCAATTGTTAAAGGAATTAATTAAGCTCTTCTGTACTCCATTTGCACAAACTCAGCTAAATCTCCATCCAACCATGTGGAAACGTACAGAAACAAACAATATAGTTTAAGAACCTGAAGTTACTTGATTGGCTAACAAATACAATCCTTATGAAAAATTCAACATGTACACATATAGATACCAAGTATACAAAGTTTCAGCAAATGCCAACATCATTAAAAAGCATTTTGGATACATTTCAAAGGAATTTTCAAGAATACATCACACATCAAAACCAAAACACTTAAATGTCACTGAAATTTTACAAGACAAATTAGAGCTGCCAAAATCTAGAAGCTCTATCCATTTCAAAAATGAATATAGTTTTTGCATTGCTTTCTTAGCTTAACAACAACAAAAATACAGATGGAAACTATAAACAGAACTTAGACTCTTCTAAGGGCTTAATTGTTCAACATTATGATGTTCTACATTTTATCATATATTTTAGCTGACACTAACAACATTTTACTTCAAATTGTAACTCATAATACAAAGCAGCAATTAAGGTTGGAGGTATCTATTAAATCATACCCTGACAATGCCAGGTTTGTTTATTTGTTTGCCATTTTGGAAGATTAGATTTATTTATTGCATTTTTAACAAAAATGTTAATAGAGAAAAATATTCATTCTTCATTGCAGTGTGAGGATATAGAAGAAATAGGACTTCCTGTATAGGATTTCATTATCTCGAAAGTCCTAAAGTGATACTGCCTTCAGAGTCTGAAGTTTGCTGACATATTCATGTTGAATCAATGTCATTTACCTTTCAAGGGATGCTTGAGTAATGACTGTGTGTATAGCACTGTTGAGCATTCTGCATGAGTTACAATACACAGCCATCTCCATTCCTCAACAGAATCACAATCTAATAGAGGCAATAAGGCACAGTGAATTTATGTTACCAGATAATATAATTGTGATTGAATTGATGAAAATAAATAACTATGAAAATATGAATGATAGCGCTTTCAGTGTCATTTGATTGAGGAAGCTTTCGCACAGAAAGTACCAGGTCTTAAAGGATGGGATGGATTTCCATAAGGGCCCAAGAATAGAAGAGCACTCCTGACAAATGGAATATCCATAGCTAATTTATAAGGACAGCAAAGTACAAAATGTTTAAGAAGCAGCCTGGAAAGAAGGGAAGCTGAAAATCAAGACCAAATCACAGTACAGGCAAGGGAGAGAGAAACAAGGGATGCAAAAGAAGGCAAAAACATAAACATATCTTCCTTCACTATCCTGCATTCCAGTATCTTTTGTCATTTTGCTTCTTGATTTTCAAGTGAGATTGGACTTGGTTACAGGAAGTGCTGTTGACATTTACTTTTGCCATACGTTTTTAAATACAGGGAATACACATGCATATACGCAAAACTTCCCCATAAGGTCTATTCCTCAGCAATACATAGATTTCCAAAATGTCAAAATTTGTCATTCTTTTTACTGTTCATGAAAGTACTTCATAACAAAACAACATTTCACATATACAATATTTGTCACCTTGGTAAAGATGAGTTTATCAGTTACATTTTTATTAGTGGGATTTTGATGGGAGTATACATAAGGCATACCAACAGAACAGCATATATTTTAAAAATTGTACAATTTCATTCAAATTTTAGAGACAAACTATTATGTTTAAGCTCGCCAATTTAAAATTTAGATGCTACTACAAGCACACGCACACACACACACACACACAGTATATCTCTGCTACCATTAATTTCAGTTCAACAGTGCTTTAAATTCAACACAAGGAAGGTGGCCCAAGCGGGTGCCGGGAGAGCTAGGGCGGGCCTGGGGGGTGGGGTGGTCCTAAGGTGGCGCCTGGCAGCCTTTGCCACCCACTAATCCTGTCTTTTCCTGGTGTCTCCTCTTTGTCTGCAGAAGTCCACGAGATAGCTTCAACAGAGAAGCAGAAGGAAAAGGAAGATAAAGTAACTAGTCCAGAGGAAGCTGAAGAAGCAAAATTAAAAACAAGGTATCCTCATCTGGGACAAAAGCATGGAGGTTCAGATTTCTTAAGGAAATGTTTGTAGAAAGGGCAAAATTACTTTCTTTCTTGGGGATTACAACCTGGCAAAAGCCAAAATGAAGAACAAGCAACTGTCTACTGCAGCCCCGGATAAAACGGAGGTCACTAGTGACCATACTGGCACTCCTCGGGACCTTCCCCACTGGAAGCCGTCCCTTGTTGCTAGCAAGCTGGCTGGGATGGCTGATTAAAAGAGCCAACTCACGAATCGTCTAATTCTCATTATTTCTTCTTACAATGCTATCTATCCACTTATTTCCTTTCATTCTGTAAGTCATTTGAGACTGACAGCTTTGCAGTTAGAGTAGTGTGTGCAGCAATAATAGTTAGAGTATTGTGTGCAGCAATAATAGTAAGAAATATACATGTGTAGAGTTTTTGATTGAACAGTGAACTGACGAAAAAGACACGTTAGAGCAACATCATCTACTTGAAAATAATTGTATATATTACCTAAATCCTAGTGTAGGTTCCAACAAGTAACAATTTTCACAATTTTAATGGTTTGGCTTTACTTACTTCATCTTCAGTATGGATTTGTATGTTACTCTTATTTAACATAACCTCTGTTGTATTGATTTTTTTCTGTATTTTCCTTTTGGATTTTGTAAAACCTTAAGACCACAAGTTCTAAGAAAAATCACTTAATTCAAACAAAACTAATGGGAACTCCAAAAGATTTGTTTTTCTGTGGTTGAAATTGAATGGCCTTATATGGATCCGGCTGAAAAGCCCATGAGAGTATTTCAGGCATGGAAAGCCAAGACACTCTGGGGAAAAAAAAAAACCGAAATGAAAGATCTCCGCGAGTGAGATCCCAGTGGAAAGAACAGGTCATCAAAGAAGGAGGTACCTTTCTGTGAAGGGAGCAGAGAACTTCCACTTTGACCATGGCCTTGTCTAAATATGATCAGTCAGTGAACTCAAAAGGCTTCCATAGCCTTGGCAGCTCATGACAAGAGCCTAGGGTGATTACTGATGTCATAAACAAGAGTGTCAATTTGTGAAGTCAACAACAGGAGTCACTGTGCACTTACTCCTCATGTAGGATCTCTGTCCTTAGTGTGCTGTACATTGAGATTTAATGCTATAACTAGTACTCAAACAGTATTTTTCACTTTGTGTTTCTATGTGGGTGCAAACTGTTGAAATCTTTACTTAATGTATGCTAAACTGATCTTCTGTACATAAAGAGAAATGAAAATTAATCTTGATGTGAATGGAAGGGGAGAGGGAGTGGGAAAGGGGAGGGTTGCGGGTGGGAGGGACGTTATGGGGGGAAGCCATTGTAATCCATAAGCTGTACTTTGGAAATTTATATTCATTAAATGAAAGTTAAAAAAAAAAGAAAAAAGAAAAGAAATTGAATGGCGTTGAACCTGTTTCAGCCTTAACAGTAGAATTTTACTTGGGCAATATTGGCCCATTCTGGTGTAACTCCAGTACTTAGCAGGTGCTATTGAAGCTAGTACTCTTATTCAGTTCTATAATGGTAGAAAACCTTTTGTTGTTGAAGATGTGAATGAATGAATGACGTATGCATGTGCGTTGACTTAAATTCACTTTTGTGCCATTTTTCTAAATACAACAATTTTTCACAACCTTTCACAAATGTCTGTATTAATTTCACATATTAAAAAGTAGTTAATGTGCCAACCAGAAGCACAAAAGTTACTACACAAAACCCTGTCTGCACAGCCTCTGTAGATAAGAGTTTACAATCTTGGGCTTACAGAATACCAAACTAAAATCTACTTAGTCTGCCATAAAATTAACAATTTTGTTTGTTTCTAATATCCATGACATTCAGTGGCCTTGTGCAAATATGATATGCTGCTTAGGTTTATCTTTGGTCCTATGCAGAGCATTTCATTTTGACTTTTCTAGAAATAACAGTTCACATAATTTATATAAATTTTTTAAATGTGGATACTTTTTACTTTCACAATTAACTTTGAGAATGTTACAGTAAAAGGCTTTCATATTTGGCCTTCTGTCTCCCCCTATAGTCTGGATGTCTTTTTTTTTTCTTTTTTTAATTCAAATGGTATAGGGATGTTCAATCTATGTGGAAGCATAAGTGTCTATATCCTTTCTCTGTAAGAAATTTGCTGTACTGAATGCTATATTTTATAACAAAATAATGACATTGGTTGTGTAATTTATCAGTTGCTAATTAATCTTAGGATTTAACCTGCATTTTACTAATAATTGATAATTGCTTAAATATAATTAAACAAATTGTTGAAAACAATTCTTATTCTGGTGAATAAGTTATGTAAGTATGGTCAGTTGAGAGGAATGGCTTAATGATAGCTTGAATATTTTATATGACAAGGTTATTCATATCAAAAATAATTAAATATTATGTCCAGGTCACAGTAGTAAGATGTCACTTATTTTACATGCAGTTTATGTACTTAGAAATTCAGGAGACTATTAGAACAGCATTTACCACTCTTAGCTCTTCCCAAGAATTGTTGTAATGCTGTAGAATGACAATGAGGATTGGTAGCATGAGGTTATGCTATTTTTTATTATTTATATTATTTTATTATATATTATATGAATTATATGTTATTATTATTTTATTTTTATATACTATTATACTATTTTTCTGTTTATCTTTTTTTCATTTTTTAATTTATTTTTTATTTAGTAAATATAAATTTTCAAAGTACAGCTTATGGATTACAATGGCTTCCCCCACCCTTAATTTCCCTCCCACTCACACCCCTCCCATCTCCCGCTCCCTCTCCCATTCCATTCACATCAAGATTCATTTTCAATTATCTTATATACAGAAGATCAATTCAGTATATATTAAGTAAAGATTTCATCAGTTTGCACCCACACAGAAACACAAAGTGTAAAATACTGTTTCAGTACTAGTTATAGCATTACTTCACATTGGACAACACACTAAGGACAGATCCCATTTGAGAAGTAAGTGCACAGTGACTCCTGTTGTTGACTTAACAATTCAACACTCTTGTTTATGGCGTCATTAATCTCCCTAGGCTCTAGTAATGAGTTGCCAAGGCTATGGAAACCTTTTGAGTTAACCAACTTCGATCTTATTCTGACAGGGTCATAGTGAAAGTGGAAGTTCTCTCCTCCCTTCAGAGAAAGGTACCTCCTTCTTTGATGGCCCTGATCTTTCCACTGGAATCTCACTCGCAGAGATCTTCCATTTAGGTCTTCTTATATTTTTTTTTCCAGGGTGTCTTGGCTTTCCATGCCTAAAATACTCTCATGGGCTCTTCAGCCATATCCGAATGCCTCAAGGGCTGATTCTGAGGCCAGAGTGCTATTTAGGACATCTGCCATTCTATGAGTCTACTGTGTATCCCACTTCCCATGATGGATCGTTCTCTCCCTTTTTGAATCTATCAGCTAGAATTAGCAGACACTAGACTTGTTTGTGTGATCCCTTTGACTCTTAGACCTGTCAGTGTGATCAATTGTGAACTCAAATTGATCACTTGGACTAGTGAGATGGCATTGGTACATACCACCTTGATGGGATTGTATTGGGATCCCCTGGCATGATTCTAACTGCACCATTTGGGGCAAGTCTGATTGAGCATGTCCCAAATTGTACATCTCCTCCCTCTCTTATTCCCACTCTTATATTTAACAGGGATCACTTTTCACTTAAAATTTAAACACCTAAGAATAATTGTATGTTAATCACAGAGTTCAACCAATAGTACTAGAACAAAACAAAGAGAAAATACTAAAATGGATAAAGTATTACAAGGTACATCAACAGTCAGGACAAGAGCTGATCAAGTCACTGTTCTCATAGTGTCCATTTCACTTCAACAGGTTTCCCCTTTGGTGCTCAGTTAGTTGTCGCCAGTCAGGGTGAACATATGATATTTGTCCCTTTGGTAGCATTATATTCAGGTTTCTGAGGAATCTCCAGACTGACTTCAGTAGTGGCTTAACCAATTTGCATTTCCACCAACATTGGGTTAGTGTCCCTTTTTCCCCACATCCTCTCCATCATCTATTGGTGGTAGATTTCTAAATGTGAGCCTTTCTAACCTGGGTGAGGTGAAACCTCATTGTGGTTTTGATTTTCATTGCCCTGATTGCTAGTGATCTTGAACATTTTTTCATGTGTCTGTTGGCCATTTGGATTTGCTCTTTTGAAAAATGTCTATTGAGGTCCTTGGCCCATCTCTTAAGTGGGTTGTTTGTTTTGATGTTGTGGAGTTTCTTGATTTCTTTGTAGATTCTGGTTTTCAACCCTTTATCTGTTGCATAGTTTGCGAATATTTTTTCCCATGCTGTTGGTTGCCTCTTCAGTTTCCTGACTGTTTCTTTTGAAGTACAGAAACTTCTTAATTTGATGCAATCCCAAATGTTAATTTTGGCTTTGACTGCCTGTGCTTCTGGGGTATTTTCCAAGAAGTCTTTGCCAGTACCTATATCTTGTAGAGTTTCTCCAATGTTCTCTAATAATTTGATGGTGTCAGGTCGTAGACTTACGTCTTTAATCCATGTTGATTGAATTTTTGTGTAAGGTGAAAGGTAGGGGTCTTGCTTCATGGTTCTGCATGTGGAAATCCAGTTTTCCCAGCGCCATTAATTGAATAGACTGTCCTTACTCCAGGGATTAGTTTTAGATCCTTGATCAAATATAAGTTGGCTGTAGATGTTTGGATTGATTTCTGGTGTTTGCATTCTGTTCCTTTGGTCTATCCATCTGTTTCTGTACCAGTACCATGCTGTTTTGATTACAACTGCCCTGTAGTATGTCCTGAAATCTGGTATTGTGATGCCTCCGGCTTTGTTTTTGTTGTACAAGATTGCTTTAGCTATTCGAGGTCTCCTGTGTCTCCATATGAATTTCAGCATCATTTTTTTCCAGGTCTGAGAAGAATGTCTTCAGTATTTTGATTGGTATTACATTGAATCTGCAAATTGATTTTGGAAGAATGGACATTTTGATGATATTGATTCTTCCAATCCATGAGCATGGAAGATTTTTCCATTTTTTTGGTATCCTCTTCTATTTCTTTCTTTAAGGTTTTGTAATTTTCACCGTAGATATTTTTAACGTCCTTGGTTAAGTTTATTCCAAGGTATTTGATTGTTTTTGTAGCTATTGTGAATGGGATTGATCTTAGAAGTTCTTCCTCAGCTGTGGCATTGACTGTGTATACAAAGGCTGTTGAATTTTGTGCATTGATTTTATATCCTGCTACTTTGCCAAACTCTGCTATGAGTTCCAATAGTCTCTTAGTAGAGTTCTTTGGATACCCTAAATAAAGAATCATATCATCTGCAAAAAGGGATAGTTTGAGTTCTTCCTTCCCAATTTGTATCCCTTTAATTTCTTTTTCTTGCCTAATAGCTCTGGCTAAAACTTCCAGAACTATATTGAATAGCAGTGGTGAGAGTGGGCATCCCTGTCTGGTACCAGATCTCAGTGGAAATGCTTTCATTCTGTTTATCTTTGACATTTATTCAGGCATCTTTTCTGGATCTTGGCTCTAGTTGCAAAACTGCTTTTCTATAATCCCAAATTACAGTAGATGGTGCCTTGAACACAGCTCCTCAAGGCTGATGATTTTCCTGTTCAACCCATGCCTAAAGGCAGAAAAGCAGCAAAACCAGTACTGTGTTCATTGTAATTTTA